GTCAGGTTCAAGAAACATGAATAACAAAAGCATTATTCAAAGAAATAGATGTACTTGTTCCAACATATACAAGTGTACCTTCTAGGAACATCTTTAATATGTCAGTTTAATGAAAAATGGGTTTTCGTCATTTGTGGAAATTTTTTATTCTGTGTTAATTGTATGCTCATTAAAATATACTATTGGTTCACGTAACAAAAGCAAAGAACAACTTTTTTTTTAAATTTCTAGAGCATGATGACTTTTTTCAATATTTCTCTTAATTTCTCCTTCATTGGCCCTAGCTTTTGATTTCAGTGTTTTTCTCTTTTAACTTTCTGTGTGAACCATGTTATACCTGCCCTGGAAATAAGTCTGGAAGAGCAGCTGTATATAGTCAGAGCCAGCTGGTCAGCATACTTCCTTCACTTGGTGCTGTGCTGTCCAATAGGAATAGAACGTGGCCCATAAATGTGACTTTATTTTCTTAGTAGCCACGTTTAAAAAGTAAAAAGAATATAAGAAAAGAAAAGAAAGAAAATATTTTTAATAATACTTTTTAACCCATTATGTTTAAAGTATTACTATTTTGACATGTATTTGATATAAAAAAATTAATAATATTTTGCATTCCTTTGTTCCTCTGAATCTTTGAATCCCAGTATGCGTTTTGCATTTACAGAACATCTCAATTTGGACTTGTCAGACTTCCAGTGCCACGTGTTTTAGAGCCTGTTCATTGTCAGTATATCCTGAGTTTCTCTTGAGATTAACTATCGCCATTTTTGGCATCTGTGTAATCCAAGGGAACAACCCATCTGGATTTCAGTTTTGTTGCTCGTTGCTTAAATTTAGCAATCTGCTAGATAGCAGGAATTTTCCATTTGATGGCTAACCTCAAATAACAGAAAATACAGGAAAACTATATGTAACCGCAGGGCCAAAATGAATACGTCTCTGTCGCCCTCAGTAAAATTTGAGCGTTATTCCTCAAATGTTTGTATTATTTCCATTTGTAAAATGACACTACTTAGCTCTGATATGTGGCTGTATATAAATCTGGGCTTCACTCTGCTATAATTCTTTGTGTTCCTTAAAGACTTTGTTAATTTGTGTAGGGGGATGTGCTTTTTTTAAAAAAAAAGGGGGGGGTGAAGAAGAGATTCTAGACCTGGTGTGCAAATTTGTAGTAAATATGTGATTGTTCAGCATTTTGTTAATATATTAAAGAAATTGTCCTTATAAATTTAAAGTTTCTTGGTGGAAAATTAAATATGCAACCAGTAGGTACTGTGCTCAATAGAATCAGACACCTTGAGTGCTTGTGGCAGAATTTCAAGCATCAGAATTTTAGGTGGATAAATTTCATTATTCTTTAATAGCCTTTTACGTCATCATCTGTGCCCACTAATTCTTTTCCTAAGGCAAACATTTTTTCAGAGAACACCAAGAGATGAATCCTGTATTATGCCCAGTGTTATATCCTTTGAGTCCTTCTAGTACTGCAAAGCAGTTCTGGAACACTTGGTCCCATCCTGCTGTTATTGTCCTCTTTATATAAACATTTTCTAAGACCACTGTGTCCCAGAGTAGCTGACTTTGTCACTCTGTTTCATATCTACTAAGGGAGACTGCAAAAAATGTTAAAGTAGTCTTGATTTATTCTTTAGTATATTATAAGAATTTGCCTAATATGTGTAGTAGTTTTGTGATTTTCATAAATCTACAGACAGTTTATTATGTTTTTATTATCCAATGAAACCATCCCTTTAGACCATGTATTTCATACGAAAAATATCAGCTGTATTTATAGAGAGCCAATGCTGGCAATTAAAATTTATAATTCTAACTCTGTTTCTTTTGTATAGTGAGAGCTATACTCAGATAGAGGAAGAATGCAGGTCTCTCTTATAGGTAAAAATTGCATTCCTAGAAGTGACTGTCTATATCAGAAATATGAATATGTATGAAGTATATAAATAAGAAATATATAAATTCCTTCTGATAAATCCATATAACTTTCCAAGTTAGAAAAGGCAAAATATCAAATGTGAAAGTGGCTAAAACACATAAACAAGACACCACTTTCAGCACTGACCCCTAAGGAGTGAGTCCTGCAGGTGTGTAGGGTGTGAGTTGGTTTGGAGTTCCTTTCTTCCTGACCACGAATGCTAATGTCATCTGGGGGTCCACAAATATAGGAATATATAAATAACCAATAAATAATTGTATATTTTTTCCTTACAGATAAATCTGTTGGTATCGTATCCTTTAATGTGCTTACTATGAGAATTCTTTATAGCAAGTGTAATGAACGTATCATGTTCAGCAAGCTCCATTACCTGGACTTCCAGGTGGTTGAACACTGTGGTCTCCTTTTCAGATCAGAATCTCTCTCGCCATATACCACGTGGCTGTCTACTATTTCGGACACAGATGCACTGCTGGCTGAGTGGGGCAAAGGTGGCGTTGTTACTGTTGATATGGCAGGTCGCGTCAGGCTTTGGGAGACTGGACTTGAACATCTGCAGCGGTCACTCATGGAATGGAGGAACATGATTGGACAAGAAGGTGACAGACATATGCAGGTAACACTTGACTCCACCTTACCTCTTAAAGGTACACATTCAGTTAGAAAATTAGTTCCAAATGCTGCAGTCGTGAAAAGTTCTGGCCCACCCAGTATCTCAAATGTCATTGCTTAGATAGCTAAAATAATTTTTGGACTCAGAAAAAGACAAACGTTTCCTTCTGGATAGTAAAAATGTGCTTTTGTGCCTGTCAGTGCTTAAATATATAGGTTCCTCACCTCACAACATGCAGATACAAGCATCAACTTTGATTTTTTTAGCCTTGAGCTTTAATCAGTTTGCAGTACCACCTTTGCATCTGTTCTCACTTGTATCACTGTCGTCAGCATCGCCACGTGCTACCAAGGAAACAGAAATACTGAGCATCTAAAATTCAGTGTATTACTATAAGGCCAAAACTTTTAGACTAGAGAAGATAAGCAGAATTATGCATCCAACAGAGATGTGTGTGTGTGGTTTTTATCTTTTACCAACTCCCTTATTGCCAGATAAGGGGAGTTTAGCAGTCATAATAAGCAGACCCAACCCTGCACTAGAAAGAAAGATGGCAACAGGTCACCAAAGTGGAAGTGAATTCCACAGCTTCAGAAATGACTCAGTCACCACCTTATCACGGGCAAGATTCGTTGCTGTCTGGAACTAATGTGAGCAGTAAGGAAGGCAGTGTACACATAAATTCTAAACCGTGGAGGGGAGGGTACAGCTCAGTGGCAGAGCATGTGTTCAGCATGCACGAGGTCCTGGGTTCAATCCCCAGTACCTCTATTAAAAAAAATTTTTAAATAAATGAATAAATCTTATTACCCCCCCCCAGAAAAAAACAAAACAAACAAACAAAAAATACTAAACTGTATTATAAAAGGATTTATTTTATTTGTAATTTATTTTATTCTTCAGAAGAAAAAGGTTTTATTCATTTTAACCTTCAGGAGAAAACTTCTCTGTTTACATTTCATTTTTATCCAGCAAAGAGAAAGGTAGGTTCCTGCCAACTGTGTTGCTGTGCAAAGAACCAGTTAACAAGATAAATTTCCACAAACTAATCTATTGATTTCTGATTAGTAATTACTATTTTATTCAGCTATTTTTGTGATTTTCCTTAAAGAAGTGAGAAATATATGTATATATTTGTGAATGAATAATACATATTTCTAGCTTATCAGAACTTTTTGAAAATTATGAACCAGTATAGGGCAGCAACCTCAAATCCTTTTGAAAGGGTATGAATATATTAATTTAATTAAGCTAAAATGAATGTATTACTCTAAAATAAACATGTTATTAAGTGCAGTGGATCTGTCACAGCAACAGACTGAATGTTGGTCGTTATCCATAACATTAATTAGAAAATTAAGTAACTATGGTTCTGCTTCTTTTATTATTCTAAAGATTACTTTCATCTCCCTTTGAATTAAGCTCCTTTTTCATTACAGTAATTGATGCCTAATAGTAAATACTATTATATTTGGATTCTTATATGTTATTTCAATGTCTCCTGTGTTCTAGAGATCAAAGATCATGCTTTCCCTATGGGCAAGATTTATGACCTAAATTATCTTTCACAATAGAATTTTTAAAAAGAATGCTACTCATAATTTTGGTAACTGGTCTTCGCTGCTACAAAAATTAACCTTTATTTGTGTTTTAGCCATGTAGCTCTTCTCTGTCCAGTGACATCTCTGAATCTGTTGTGCATCTTTGTAGTCCCAGCTCTTTAGCATGGTGATTGGTACACAGTAGGCAATTAATATGCTTTTTTTTATGCTCATACTCATGTATATGAAATTGAAGCTTTCTGATAACAAATGGAGTTCTTCTTTTAACTGTCTCAATTTTTCACTTGTTTTTATGTAACTGAGTAAGTATTGTTGAGTGAACATATGTAGTTCTTAAGTTAGAAATGAGCAGGAATATAGTATCTTACATCTCAAAAATAATCAAAATGTTTAGCTATAGTATGTAGGGCGATATCTGATCCTTCTCAAACCAAACACCTCCTGGGAAGTGTATAATTTTATGTCTCCAGTTCAGAGTTCAGCAATAATAGAAATAAGACTTATTCAGTAATAAAGTCACATAATTCAGATATGAGTGATAGTTCCATTCGGAAAATTAGAATAGGTGTTATCTAACGTTCTCTTTCCATCTCTGATGTTCCTTGATCCACTTTGTTGATATTGAAAATATATACTTATATAAACATACTCAAACCGAGTTATGAACATACATCTTTATGTCTAAACAGACAGAATTCATTGTCCAAATAATCTGCCATTGTGTTCATTTTTGGTCACATCTCTCCTCTTCCTTCTCACTGCTTGGCAGATAATGAGACAGCATATTTAATTGCTTTTATTTAGGCCAGCTCATGTTATTATTTACAAGTAGTTTGCACAACCAAATCTAAGTATGAATCATTCCAGGGACAATGGTAATAACAAGTAAAAGTGTGTCTTTTGCAGCCACACTGCTATTCGATCCTTTAACCTGTTCCTTGTTTGTGGACCGTTTATTCAACATAGGTCTGCTCCTGATTTGGGAGAAAATACCTTCCATAGAAGTATGGAGAAAAGAGAGTAGGTTCTTAGCACCACATTTATCGCTTGCTGACGGCTAGCAGCTTCCCTGTCACTGGCAGAGTAACCTGATCTCCATCTAGTGGCCAAATGGACTTACTTGACATTATGGAAATTAAAAGGCCTGATTTACACCCAGTAGTTTGAGGCAGCCTCAGACCTGCTGGTAATGGAGGTTTATCCATGCCCATTTGGGGCAATTCCTTTTGGTCGTGAGATGCTCCCTTCGGTCAGCAGTGAACCTGCCACGCCAGTCACCACTCATGGGCTCCCATCGTTCCCTGCTTCCTGTGCAAGGTATCAGGAGAAGAAGAATTAGATAAACTACATCAGTTACATGCTCTGTCACTTTCCTGTGTGATTTTGCTGCATCTCTGCCTTCGAGAGGTATTAGTTCTGGCGCTGTTGTTGCTTTGAATTTTTGTTTTCGTTTAATGCATTCATTGACAGTTTTCCTTCATGAGTCCAGCTTGCAGGAAAGTTTTTATTGAGCTGCATATAAAACGCATTCATTAATTTTACATACTTTGATAGGAACATGTGTTTTTCTGATAGTAAACAGCTATAGCCCATTATTACACGTTCATATTTACTACTTTTCACTCCATATTTTCAGAAGCACAGGTTAATTATAAGCAAAATTTTTCTGACTCAGTTTAATAGTATTCTCTATAAACACAGTTTTCATATTTTTAATTAGTTACCTTTGGATTCCTCCCAAGAGGCTGTTAAAGCTACACCACAGTTTTCCTCAATCAAATCGTCTTCTCTAAAAATCCTCTGGTGTCTATTTTTTTTTCATTTTTCAGTTTTATTAGGTAGAACTGTTACAATTTAACTACACATACACAATATATTGCATGGAAAGACATATACACAATATAGTGCAAGTATTTTTTAATTTATATATATGTACTGTT